ATTGTTGTTATCACTTGAAATAAAGTGTGTTGTTATAAAAAAAAACGTGTTGTTAAATTTTAATCCCAAACTTGTTATTTTATAATCAGAACTTGTTATTTTTAAATGTATTGTTGTTATTGCCTGCAACAAAATTTATTGTTATAAAAAAAACATATTGTTAAATTTTTATTCCAGACGTGTTATTTTACAATCAGAACTTGTTATTTCCAAATGTATTGTTGTTATCACCTGGAACAAGAGTAAATGAGTTAACTTATATTTTTTTTTGCATCATAATGTTAACAAAAATTTGTTGGCTCAATGGTCATTCCTTATTTTGGGAAGCATTAGGTTGGGGGATCAAATCCCCCCAACCTCACTTCCCCCCAATTTAAAAAAAAAAAAACAGTTTAAAAAAAAACAAAGGAAGACCGCCGGAAGCGGCCGCCGGCGCCGGAGCTCCGGCGGCCGGACCCCAGCGTCCGGCGGCCGGTGGCCGGATTCCGGTGAGGAGTGGCTTTCTTTTTAAAAAAAAAAATTAAAGAGGGGTATTTTGGTAATTTGACCATGATTTCATAATTACAATTTGAGACCAGGTCCCTCATAGTAATTTAGCATATTCAGGTGACCATAGAGTGATTTTGCTAATTCAAGGGTCTTTATTTGTGATTTCCCCAAAAAATAAGGCAAAAGAGGACCCCTTAGACCTTCATAATGAGTATGTGCCTACATTTGTGTGCGTGTGCCGTGTATATCGGAGGGCAGTCCTACATGCACACTATTGCAATAATGTCATGCTTCCCTAGTTTTTCCTTTATTCGTTCATTGCATCTCCTACAATTTTGTAATATACTTAATTGCTTATGATTTGGTAATATGAAAACTTTTATGTAAATATGAGGTTGGGTATTAAATTTTCCTACACTTTTAAGTTATTGCCACTTAACCGTCTTTTTTTTTTTTTTAAATATACTACCTCCCGTTTTTAATATAAGCTTTAATTAAAATTTCAATTTGATTTAAATAAAAGATATTAATTTATTTTGTCTTGATATTTACCTAATTTACTTTGAGGTAATCTCAACGATGATTATGCATGTTAAGGAGTTTCTCTCAAAGAGTAATTTTTCTGTACACGATTAATTAGAGTATTTTAGAAAAGAGAATATTCATTTATTATAAAGAACTAATTTATCTAATTTTTTTAACATTTATAATTTAGTTATATAACTCTTATATTAAGAATAAGAGATAGTAACTTACATACAACATCATAGTATTAGCTATCAAGTCATGCTTATTATTATAGCCATCTTTTCTACAAATTAAAATTGTATCGTACTTGTTTAATTCTATTTATAAGGTACTTTTAATATGTATTACGTAGGTCAATAAAAATTTTAAACTGTGTTAACTCTCAATTAAAATAAGAAGAATACAATCAAGTCCCAAATAAGAAACATAATTACTAAAAAGTTCCAATAATAACTTAAGCAGTTAGTAATGACAAGTTTTAAAGTAAAAAATGGCAACTTCTTATACTTGTTTGGTAATTTTTTTATTATTGGGACCTCATTATAATTCTCCATTAAAATATAGCCACTTTTTAATTTTATCCTTATTTAATATACATACTTTTAAAAAAAAAATAACTATGTACACTATAATAAATAAAGAACAATATAGTATATTCGTGATAAAAATTTAGTGAAATGACTTAACAAATAGGACCAAGAAACACCTTATATCTTTGTCCTATAAATAGGACCAGAGGAATATATTATTTGGCTACGTAGAGAGGATTTAGTTGTTCTTAATTATGGTTAAGATCTTAAGTCCTTTAAATAACAAGGTTATATTGATAGAACTATAATCAATTAACTCAAATAACACTTATGACATCAAACAGTTGTATTAGAACTTTTTTGATTAAAGAATATAAGGGGTTGCATCATTTTTCCCAATTGTCGGACTATTTTACTTCTAACTCACTGTAAGTTCCAGAAATCATTAGTTATACTTTCAAAGCAAGTGTTTATTAATTGATTTTTTTGGCCAGAGTTTATTAATTAATTTAAAAAATTAACATACTTTGATACCTTATTAATTGAATAACTGCTTTTATACTTAATTATACTAACGATTTGTCTAATAATTTATTAGTATATAATTATATCCTTTGTTTCACAATCATAATCGCTCGCGATGAGAAAGCATTATATCTTGAGTTGGCTGATTGTCCTTAAAGCTGTTTGTGTACCAAATTGCTATATGTATATATTTATTCCTTTTTTTATTGCCAACATATATTTAAACACTTGGATGTTGATTAATTAGTGAGATTAAGATATAATGTTGGTCATGTTTCATATTATTAAACCCACCGTCTCAACGAGTGGTTTGGAAGTTGGTGATTCCATCAATTTCAAATTGAACGGGTAAAAAAGAAAGCCCCGCATAAAATGAGTGATAATTATTGCGGCGAGTCAACCTTTCAGACTCAGTATAAAGACCAACGCACTACTTAATGTGCGTGGACCAATAATTAATTTTTTTTGCCAACGTGTACCAACAATTAATTGGTCTTTTATTAAGTTGGGAGACTAAAAATGACCATGTATGTTGGTCATTTGTAACACATTTTTGCATATTAATAAATATATTAAATTGGTAAAATTTTTAAATTTCATTATTATTAAATAATGGATAAGATTGAAAAACGAGAATTACATATACTATAAGTAACTTGGTCTAAAATTTTTCTTACGAGTGACTTACATTTAGCACCAACACAGGTTTTTAATTAGTTGGTTCTAATAATCAACTTGGATTGCTACCTCATTATCCTGTAATTCACACGCATTATTTGACTGTTTCATCATCCAAAGATTTAGTCTGTCACCTGATCTGCTTCTGAATTGATTTTTTAAAACTGTGTTATTGTGGGGAGAGCGGGTTGCATTAGGCACACTTGCTCCAAAAAGTAAAGTACTCATTCGGTCCTTAATATAAGACACATTTAATTAATTTGATTAGGTTAAGGAAGTTAGCTAAGTTAGTTAATTATAAGAAATGTGACACGTTTTTCCTAAAACACTGTAATCATCTTTCCTAATACCCCTTCTTCCTCTTCTACTTGATTATGGTTGAGGGAGTATCTATAGGGGTAATTTAGAGAAAATCGATAAATATAAGCAATGAGTCTTATATTTAGGACCAAAACCAACTTAATAATTGAGTTCTATATTAATTACCAGAGGAGTAATTTTTTCTTTTTTAAAAAAGACGCAACTTTAACTAAGAATAATATTTTAAAAAAGAAAAAGAAAAAGGATAATTATGGACATGGTTGTATGATATCAATTACATATCAGTATGTCTTGTAAGTTCAAGTACTAAACTTCTATGGAGATCATTGTGATATTATTGTTAAAATTTCAACTAAACTAAAGATAATCATACACTTATGACTTTCCTCATTAAAACGTGATTTTAAATGGTATGCATCTTATGTCTATAATATGAGTTATTTCTTCTAAGCTTGTTTTAATCCAGAATATAAATCCAGTTTGAAAATATCTAACGCATTTAGTATCTGTTCTTTTCTTTTTCATTGAGCAATTTGTTATAATTAATGCAATATTGGCTTTTGTTAAGAACAAAATTAAAAAAGTTTATAAATTATTTAGAAATTTGATACCATAAGTACCTTTTAATTAATTTTTCTAGTTGACTTGAGGTCATGGAGAGGAGAAGTAATTATTGATAAACATTACTCCCTCCACCCCTTATTATAAACAACATAGAACTTTCTTATGTAGATCAAAAAGTTAGTTAAAGACAATAAATATGTAAAAATTAGAAGTTCTTTTTCCAAAATATCTTTATTTATAGGAGGAAAGAGGGTATAAGAAAAAGAATAAGAAAATTATTATAATAAAGAGAATTATGAAAGAGAGAGAACATGTGATGAAAAGAGATGATGATTTGAAAAATAAGATAATAAATATATTGAATATTAAAATAAGTAATTGATGAAGACAAAATAGGAAATTTGCTACAAAAATTTAAGATGCCAAAATATTTTCTCTGATCTATCTACTACCCTAAAGTATTTTATAAGGTATTCAGCATCTTAAAATATTTTTCAGATGCATTTAGTATTGTAAAGTATTTTTTGATACATCCAATACCTTGATGTATCTTTTTAGTTATGTCCAGTATGCAAAAATATTTTTTGGTGTATCAAGCACTAAGCCAAAAAAAATATTTCAGCGTGCTAAATGTACTTAAAAAATATTTTAGAGTATTAGATACATATGAGAAAGTATTTCAGGCTATTGAATGAAAATTAATCCAAAAAAAATTATCAAATTATAACTTCATAGTCAAATATTTATCACCGCAGTAGGGATCGGGGACAAGTAAGGTGACCACGAAAAGTCAGCCTGGTCAGCCGAAATGGTTGACCTTTATGATTGAAGGACGACTCAGTCATTACTAACTACGCAGCATGACCGCATGTTGTTCCTGGTCCCCCTTACTTCCATTCACACTCTCAAAACTAAACAACGTGCACTGCATCTTCTTTCGCCATTCTCATCCATCTTCACCTTTGATATATCATCCCCCCACAAAAAAAAAAAAAAACGTGTTATTATCAGAACCAACGAGAAATTTATTCATTTTGTCGCCCTAGATTCTTGACAGTCCTCTAATAAATCCTGCTCTTGGAATATTAATAAGCATATACGTCTAATATTGAACGCCATCATCAATTAAATCTTATGGGACCTCGTAAATAAATAAATAAATAAATAAATAAAACTTACGGGAAAGGCTATACATTTCGTTAATGCCATGAGCTCCCTTCCTGTTTTGATTTTTATTTTTTCGAAAAAATGTCACTAAGATATGTCATCATGTCATTTCCTTTGTGGAGAACATCCATTTTAATCGTGACTTGATTTTACTAAGACCTAACGCAGGCTCATGTATGCATTGCTCACTTCGTAGGCTTCCAAAAACAAAATTACCTTGCCACAATTTATTTCGCCTTGAACCAAGCACGTGCATCACGAAACTCTGTCTAATTCACCAGTTCTTTTAACAAGGCGTTCCTCACCCTAGAACATCCTCACCGATTACAACCCAAGTTAAAAGGAAGAAACGACACATCCTCGGCTGGATAAAGGTCACAACTTCAACCATGAATCATAGTGCTCTACCTTGTCAAAAGTTGTATATGCTCACTTGTAATTGTAATTTTATAGGTGAAGGGGTAGGTTCTAGCTATCTAAGAAGATTCCAGCTGAACTCTAATGCGACAATTATAACCATCAAAATCCAGCGGCTCAGAGTATTCTCCATGGTCAGTAAGGCTTGCTGTACAGCCCAAGCAGGGGTTTTTCCCTCTCTTCTACTCTTTTCCTGGCAGCCTCTCTTGCCTTGAGAGCTGCTTTTTCTTCTTTGGACATAACCTTGGATTTTGCATCTGGAGCTCTCTTTCTCTTTCCCACAGCAAGAGAGGAAGGGGCTGCTTTCGTAGATCTCATCGGGTTCACAGCAGTTGACAGTACTGGTCCAGGTGCAGGTCCACTTTGAGACTTACTTGCGCATTTATCTTCAACTGATTTGGATTGTGAAGCTGACGTTGGTTTTTTAACAGTGGGTCCGTTATGCCCAGAATTAGAAGAAAAGTGAGGTGAGGCATATGCCTCTTCTTGAGTCACCCACTTGCCTGCAGCAATTTTCTGAGTAAATACCTGGTTATCAATACAGTTGTGATATCATCACACACGAATCACATCGTGAAAAATGACAAAACCAAACACAAAACACAGACGGAACAACAGTGCGTGCAACGCGTACCTATGGCATCAGAATAGTAGAACCCTGACTTTGGATCATAATAGAAACCATTTGTCTGACGGTAATAATAGCCCGAACTGCTGTCGACCTCCCATTCTGTAAAATCAGGCAGCAAGAGTCAGTTTCAATTATGCTAAACCACTGACAGAATGACACGTTCGCTGTGGGTCAAGTGCTAAATGTATAGTTTGGCAAAATATCACAAAAGCTACTTAGAGGTCATACAAGATACAATGACACTGGTGTTTCTTCATTACAGTTTGTTGACAATTAGGCATTACACTAAAAGTAGATTTAGGCATATCCAATTGATTAAAATCCAAAGAAAGCTTTTCGTTGGACAAAGACAGAATCATCTTTCCCCTCAAGCCTTTTCTCCCCTATGAGCACAGTATTAACAAACCCCAAAAGATTTGCAAGACAGATTAGCCTTTTCGAGTTGTATAGAAATAAAGAAAAAGTAAACTAGTTCCAAAAATATGGATCAATTAACAGAGTCAACACAACGAGTCCTTTCCAAAAGTATTAGGTCTAGCTAAGAAGGGTTCAAATGACAACTTGCTTCAGACCATGGAAGATGAATAATTAGTTTTACTTACAACCTTGACCATCACCTAGGACATCTGGTGCACGTGATTCTCTGGCTACCTCAAACTTCGCCACATCCTTTTGATAGCTACGCTGTGCTTTCTGCGATAAAATATAAAGACGTAACCATATTGACTAGAAACATATTTGAAAATGTGTGCATGAACACTGGATATTCTTATTGCTGTTTTGGAATAGGTGAACACAGATGGAGGTGAAATAATAAATTACATGCTAATCACCATATGTCGTGCACCAACGATTAATCTCAGATACCTGTGTGATTGTGTTTCTTATGCAAAGTACAAATGATAAGGGGATAGCCTTGAAAATATGACAAGAGCATTCTGGACCTCTGGTGACCATAGCACTATAAAGAGAAAACTCTGGATATATCAATTATAAGCATAAGACCATAGGGTTCAATCTGCAAGACCTAATAGGACTAATTAACTTTGTTTGATTCATAGTATTATCATTATGACTTCAAATATGCAATTTCTTTGAAAACTGAATTTGATAGACAAACTGACAAGCATTGTTATAAAAACAAAGCTAATGCATCGAAAGCAAACATTGAAATATTTTCTTGCCGCTAAACCTTGCAAGTCCTAAGAATTTTCATTCATTTATTGTTATACAGTGAACAAGAAACGTCAATGTTGTACATGAAGAATAAAAATCTCAGAGTCTTACTGCTTCAATTTGCTCCAGGGCACGGGCAGTTTCTTGTTGTTCTTTCTCCTTAGCAGCACCTTCTTTTCTCATAGCATCGAGCCTCTTAGCAACATTATCTTTATGACGTTGACCGAGTTCATGATTTCTAATACTAGCTGGATTATTCGATATATAGATCTTGCAGAAGTCACACCATTTGTTCCCCTGGCTGACCCAATACTGAAAACAGCAAAGGAGTAATGAACAAAAGCAACCAATGACAAATAAGTCTAACTTTGGCATGCAGAATCAAACAAGATGATGCATCTCCATAAGTGCGCTATCATAATAAACCTCACTCGAGGAATTTGTATAATCAGGGATATGTAGTTGCATATTATCGTTTGCTAATTAAATTAGTTTGAAAATTAGTTTACGGCCATAAACTCTCAATGACTGAAACAGTTGTGACAACAAAAGTTTAAAGTAAATTTAGTGGCTTCCCGCCCACTGGGCAGAACAAAACCAAACTATATATTTCCTGGGCTATTTTGCATCAGCTGGCCTTCCAATTACAAGAATTAGGGGGTCATAATGTTAAAGGTACAAGATTTGAACGGGGGAAAACTGATACAAAATCAAGATATAATATTAGAGAAAGAAAATCAAAGTAATTATAAAAATTGCATATATTAAGCAGTTTACCTCAGTCATTGTGAAAATTAGGGCTGCAAATCGAATAGTTGGAGAGGAAAGTAAGAGGGTAACAATAGCAGACACCAAGATTTATGAAGGCAATTGGACAAATTAAGAAGCAGAGGCAGTAGGGTTTTGTTAAATTTATCTCGCGCAGGCTTCAGAATTCGAATCGGAGATAGATTGTGAAGAGCATCATCCTCAGCGTCATAGGTTTGCTTTTACAGTTTTTTTTTTTTTTGAGTAATGCTTTTACATTTCTTTTTGTCCCGAACAGCTCACAAGGTTCACATTCATTTGATGGATAGGGTGTTGGGCTTATGGTCCCCTTATAATTGGGCTTGTTCTAATCATGTCCGGTTCGGTTTTGTTCTTAGCTCATGTGGCCTTGTTTGGTGGTTTTATCACTTTTTGGGGCACAAATTACTTTTTAGAGAAAATTTAGATACTTTAAATATTTTTCTAAATTGAATTAAAGAAATTAAATTCTAAATTTAAAAATATAAAAATCAGTATAAAGTAGTAATAACAAGATTTATTTATTTATATGATAAGTGATCTGTAAAAAAATCCTTTGGCGAAAAATCCACATGTTCTAATGGAACTTACTGTTAACAATGAATAAATATATGAAAGTTAATGAACATAAGTTTTTTCTCGACCAAAAAGGAAATAAACATAAGAAGAGGGATGCCGTACTCGAACCTCATTAGTGTGTCGGATATGTCCCTTCAACAGATCTTGGGAAGCTAATTATCTAATGTTCATTGACCTTCTCGTCCTGGAAATAGAGATTATGAAAATCTCAGAGGTTCCGACTTCAGAACAGTAAGTTAGATTACCAGCAAGCTGGCCCAATTGCTTTTTTTTTTTTCCATGTCTTTCTTTTGGGCTTTACGCCTATCCCCCGCATTCCCACCAAAAAAGCTCTCCTTTGCCTATTGGCTTCAGGTCCCCGGCCGTGCCGCTGCTAAAATGAGCCCCGTTCTGCGCAGGATTGGGAATCTCCGACGGACAGCCTCAAGCGAAATTGGGGAGAGAGAATGAGTGAGGGCTTTCCGGTCATCATTTTCCACCAACTCGCTGTCGCTTCCGGAAAGCCCAGAAACCCTTTTCAGTCACAGATAGATCGATTATTTAGATACAACAAAGCGGCAATCCACACCTGATCGTCTCCGTGAGCAAGCCCTGATTTTCCACGAAAGGCTTCGGGTTTGAGATCAAGACTGCCAACCCAGAATGGACCAATCTTTTTTGGTTATGCTCTCAAATCTCCTTCACCTCCACAATTCCTTAGATCCCACCACCTCCCTCCTCTCCGACACCCTCTCATCCGCCACTTCCACCGCCTCTGCCACCGCTTCTTCCGCTGCTGCTGCCTCCTCCGCCGCCACATCACCCACATCTCTTCTCTACTCATCCTCCATCGCCCCTCTCCTCTTTTTTACCATCGCTTCTGTTCTCTCTTACATCGCCTCCTCTCGTCCTACTCCCTCCTCACCCACCTCGACCTCTACCGCCACTCCTCCTGCCTCCTCCGCCACAGCCTCTGATTACTCCGTTTCGGCTTTCCGAGCTCTCTCCACAGAACACATCTGGTCCCTTGAACCTCATCTTCGCGACGCTCACTGGCGTTCGCTTTATGGGCTTTCGTACCCCGTTTTCACTACGGTCGTTGACAAGCTCAAACCCCATATCGCCATTTCCAATCTCTCGCTTCCTTCTGATTACGCCGTTGCTATGGTCCTTTCTCGTCTCGCACATGGCTTGTCTGCGAAAACCGTCGCTACCCGCTACTCCCTCGAGCCTTACTTAGTCTCCAAGATCACCAATATGGTAACTCGACTTCTAGCGACAAAACTTTACCCAGAATTCATCAAGATCCCGGTTAGTCGTCGCCGCCTAGTTGAAACGACCCAGGCTTTTGAAGAACTCACTTCGCTTCCGAACATGTGTGGAGCGATTGATACAAGCCCAGTGAAGCTCCATAGCCTTCCTAACGACCAGAAAATCCCTGCAAGCTATAGATGCAGATATGGATATCCCTCGGTTCTCCTTCAGGTTGTTGCTGATCACAAGAAGATCTTCTGGGACGTGTGTGTTAAGGCTCCTGGCGGTACGGACGATGCCACTCATTTCAGGGATAGTTATCTGTACAATCGGCTTACCTCCGGTGACGTCGTGTGGGATAAAGTTATCAATGTTAGGGCTCATCCTGTTCGTCCTTACATTGTTGGAGATTGGTGTTTCCCGTTGCTGCCATTTTTGCTCACACCCTTTTCCCCTAATGGCATGGGCACGCCCGCCCAGAACCTGTTCGATGGAATGCTTATGAAGGGAAGGTCGGTGGTGGCCGAGGCAATCGGATTGCTGAAAGGGAGGTGGAAGATTCTTCAGGATTTGAACGTTGGTCTTAGTCATGCACCACAAACAATCGTTGCATGCTGTGTGTTGCACAATTTATGTCAAATAGCGAGGGAACCAGAGCCTGAGCTGTGGAAGGAGCCTGATGAGAGTGGGCCTCAACCAAGGGTGCTGGATAGCGAGAAGTCGTTTTATTTCTTTGGGGAAAGCTTGAGGCAAGCTCTAGCTGATGATTTGCACCAAAGGCTTTCCTCGAGATGAGGGTATATGACGTTCGGCGAGAAGATTGATGCGCAAATATCTTCTTATGAGTATGATGAAGTATGTAACATTTGTAGAATGGTTACGAGTGTGTTTCAGTTTCAAATAACTTGAGTTTATGATTATGATGCAGTAGGAGACGATCTGTGGCGAGATCAATCGTAATGGCTGTCCTGTGAGTCATGAATTTGAGGGACGTACTAACTTGGGATTGTAATGTTTCAGGCAGAAATAGCACAAATGAATGGTTAGGCGGAGTTGCATCAGCCCATATTCTTATATAGCATTTGTCGTCAAAGTAGAATCTTATATTGCGTTTAGTAAAATTATAAAGCTGACCAGTTCCTTTCCTATGGTTCACTGATTGCTGCTGGCTCATACTTAATTACTATCCATCCATCGAAGTTAGAAGCTTTAGTTAGTTGTGCAGGTGAGGTTGAAGGCCAACGATTTAAGATGGTTTAACTGGCTCAATAGTGAAATCTATGAGGAAAGTTAATTTGCATTTTGACATTGGAGATGGAGAGGTGGCACGCAAACGCCAAGAAATAAATCAGATCTATATGTCTATATAACCACCAATTGTAAAACAAATTATTGCGTATATCTTGATGATGGTACCGTCTTGTTCAACAATTTGGCAATGCTAACAAGTTAACATTACTGGGGTCAACCAAAAACACCGGCGCTTTGCCTGCTTTCATAAATTGAACTCCAAGACTTCCATGCCTCCCGCTCCCATCAATGTGTTTTGACCGTCTGAGTGATCATTTCATGACTGTGTTACCACGTGCTCGCATTTTTCCCAGGGTCTAGAGTTCAATCTACCTGCAGCTTGCATTATCGGTGGCCTTGCCCAACTTGGCCTCGTCATTCCCCTCGGGATATTCATCTACTCCGCGTGTTTCGTTTAAATAATTTGGTTGGGTTTCGTACTAGTCATAGCGGTTCTTGACTAATCTGCGTGTTTGTCGGGGCCTTGACTTAGGTCTGAAAAACAAAATTACAAAAGACACAACGGAGAATCAGAACTATCAGAATTAAATGAAAGCGACTAGGCACAAAATATCATCAGCAAACAAGATTCAAGCATGTATCGCCCACATTGCAAATGCAACACAAGCTTCAACAACGCAGGGTTCACCTTCGTCAAAATCATAATATGTCTATGGACGTATTTTTAAGTGAAGCTTAAAACACATGAATAAAGAGGACTACTAATAGAAAGCCGTATCTATTTACGATTAGAAACAAAACACCAGTTTATTGCAACCTAAGATGCTGGGCCGACTGACATAGGCAATGGTTACAGCAAGAAAGCAAAATATAGAATACTTGTGTGCATTTTCAAGCTAGAACAAGGAATATGAAAGAATAGATATAATGGTCTATTGTCGTAAATGAATCCAGTGGCATAAGCCATCTGCCTTAATCCCCAGAAGCTTCATGTTATCATTTTTTACCAAAAGATATAGACACACACGTGGAAGCTGATTTACCTGGGCCAGGAGGTACTCTGCAACTATAGCAGAGCTCCAGAAAAAGAAAAGAAAACAAGGAATCCAAGCTTCCTCCCCCAATCGTGCTGGATGGTAGCAATAAAAGAGGGCTTGAACTTCCAACTTCAAGGTAAGGGTTTTGAGGCATTGAATCAAAGACATCAGGTACTTGTTGCAGGATGTGAATAGTCTCCGCCATTAGGTAGCAGACCATCCTTGGCCATTTCAGTTAGTACGTTCAAAACAACATCCATATTCCCTTCTTTATAGTTGATTTCAACAAGTGCTTTAGCCAGCTCCGCATCAGTAAGCCTACAGCTCCTCAATGTGTTCTGTATTACTCGACTCACCTCATTAACCATCCCCTTTCCAATGAGAGCTTTCACGAGAGCCACAACAGTCACTGCATGAGGATTAAAATCTGAATGCACCATCTCCTTGCACAGATTATATGCCTTCTGAACATTTCCACATTTACAATGTCCATGTATTATAACATTATAAACTGCCTCATCAGGCTTATGATTCTTCTGAAGCATTCTCTCAAAAACTTGATCTGCTTCATTCATCAATCCCTTCATGCAAAATCCTTTGACAAGAGATGCCACACTCTTAAATTCAATATTACTGCAGTTTTCAATCAGAGTATTATATGTCAAATCATTAGGTACAGACTCGTCATAGAACAACTTCAGAAGAAGCTTCTTGGCTTCTCTTGTCCTAGCTTGTTTATTGAGTCCCTTAATGAGTACACTATAGGTGATGTCATCCGGCAGAAAACCTTTCTGTATCATTTCATTATGCAAATGAAGAGCCTTACTCAATTCACCTTCCACACAATAAGCATTTATCAAAGTAGTATAAGTAAATTCATCAGGTGGGAGACCACCATGCAACATCTCTTCAAAGAGATCAAAAGCTTCCACCAGTTTTCTTTGCTGACAGAGACCTTGTATAAGTGATGAATATGTAACAGTATCAGGTGAGATACCGTTCTCAACCATCTCCAGCTTCATTTGGAATGCTTTTTCCAACTCTTGATTCCGGCAGAATCCGGATATGACAGTACTATAACTCACGACATCAGGGGATAATCCCTTCTCAACCATATCCCTTAGGATTCCTTTTGCATCTTCTATCCTTCCCAAGATGCAATGTCCATTGATAAGTGCATTATAGGTTATAATCGAAGGTGACAATCCACTTACAATCATTTCACTCACAACCTTATAAGCTTCATTCAGTAATCCCTGCTGGCAGAACCCATCAACTAATGTCGTATATGTTCTCCCATTTGGAATGAGTCCTCGAACACGCATCTGATCTAAGAATTCCATTGCTCGGTTTAGATTCTTTGCCTTGCACATACTATTGATTAATGTGGTGTACGTAACAACATTTGGTGATAACCCCTTCCCCACCATCTCCGCATGCAAAACTAAAGCCTGGTGAACATTTCCTTCTTTACAAAACCCATTGACAAGTGTATTATAAGTCACCTCATCTGGAGAAAAACCTTTCCTGTTCATCTCCTCAAATACCTGCTTAGTTTCCCTGATCCTCCCTTCTCGACACAATCCATTGATGACCACATTATACGAAATCAAATTTGCCTCCACTCCCTCCCCAGGCATCGATCTTAATAACTTGAATGCTTCATCCATTCTCCTCATCTTGCAATATGCATCGAGTAATGTGTTATAGGTAACTACATTCGGCAAACACCCATCTTTCTCCATTTTATGTTTGAGATAAAACCCCATTTCTAAGTTACCTTCCCCACAGAAACCACGAATAAGAACATTATATGTATAGACGTTTGGCGACACTCCAGTTTTAATCATCTCACTATAAACATCCTCAGCTAATTTAAGAGAACGAGTCGACCTCAGAACAGCATCTAGGATCGCATTATACGATAGCACGCCAGGCATGAATCCATTAGCTTTAGCTAGATTAACAATATTCATGGCCTTATCAATCAAGTTCACGTGAGAATAGGACTTAACCACCAAATCAAAGACTGCCGAGCTCGAGTTGCATAAATGATACGAATCCTTCAGGTATTGAAAGACCAATTCGCCGGTGTCGTCGATCGCATTTAGGGCTACATCCTCGGCGAGGCTCTGAGCTGACTTGTAAAGCTTGAAGCGGGTGAGAATGTGGAGGGCGAGACACTTGCATTGGAACGTGAAAAAATGGTGCCTTCCGGCCCAATCGAGGAATTTCAAGGTAACAGGCTGGTCGAATTGGGACTTCAAGAGTAGATAAGAAGCTGCCTCGGGAGTGAACTGGGAAGATAGAGAATTCAGTTGTTGAGGATGGCGTTTAAGATATGTAATTGCTTTATATGCGACATGGGCATCGGAGGGTGAACAGAGGGATGAAAGTGGACGGCTACCAAGGGGTTTTAGAGGACCCATTTGGGGAACCCGACAGAGGAAGGATTTTACTTGAACAAGATAGGACTGAGAAAGTCGATCATGAATATCTTCTGGCGCATGACAAAGCCGAACTGTAATACAATTATTCTTGGCTTTCGGGCCTGTGCTTCTTCGTCATGGCATCACTCCATGGTTGACGAAGCTGAATATGGAAGCTGCGAACGGCGGAGGCGGGGGAACAGGGGTGGACTACGCGCGAAGAGCCAAGGGGAGCCCCGGGCCGCGGATGCGGGTAGAGCATCAATAATCCACGGATGAGATTGGCTTGATGGAACGGTCAAGATGCGCTAAAAAGGATGTGTACGATATCTCATGATCTCGACCCTGAAATTAATCGAACGGCTGGGGTGCTGGGATCAAAATGCTGCGTTTTGACGGCAGTCCCGTCATGCTCACATTCCTTCTGTGCACTGTCTGAAAGTAACGGTGTTTGAATAAAAACTAAATTATAATTTTAAAAATAATTTTATACTATAAAAAAAATTTGTTTCGATTTATGAAAATTAAAAATATTTTTATATTACGGGGAAAAAAAATGTACTCACAAGTTATGGTGAGCTGAATAATACTTCAAATGTTGCAAAGTTTTCAAAAATAACGGAATTTGGAGTCTCTTGTCTGGCCCCGGTCCATTCACAATATATTTATGTTTTAACTGAATGAGTTATGAAGAGAAAATTTAATAATATTATGTCAATATGAATTATTAAATGAATGCTATAAATATAAATTTTTTTGTACATTAATGTTGCAATAAAGATTTCTCTGAAATCAAGTTAGATCTCTGCATGTTCTTACTGCTGCTCATTCCAAGGTCTGCATTCCTTCTAGTATGCGTTGTTTTACTCCATTTTCTTTTTTCTGACCTGAAAACCTCCATATTTAACTTGAAACGTTCAAACTTGCAAGAACATGCATTTTCAGGACTGACTGGCGGAATGATGATATCTTCATCCAGATCCCAGATGAAAATGTAGATGGAAACATTTTTTGATACAAAAAAATAGACATGATTATTATTTTAGTAGTTTTTGGGGTATGCCCCTCTTTGCTGTAAATATTTGAGTTATACTTGAGTTCTTCACCTTCCTTCAGAGCAGCATTATTAGGATACAACTTATGTACAATATATATCACCTTTCAAGGCACATTACAGTTAAAATCTTAATAATTATGGATTCCTCAAGGTCAGTGCAGAAACATTACTAATTCAGAGAAGGTGAAAATTACCATATACACCGAAAATAGAGAAGACAAATAAAAAGAAAGAAAGAAAAGACTCAAATGAAATTAACATAAAATTATTAGCACCCTCGTTGAGGCAAAGCTAACTCTGAAAACTCTACAATTTGTCTTAACCTATGAACACCAAGTTCTTTTCACAGTTTGAGTTCCTTCAAAAGAATCACTATAACACACATTTCCGTATCAACTGTACTGTAAAGGGCTGTGCTTACTAGCAAGAGAGCTCTAGACATACAAATTTCTAATGATCTCCCCACAGGTGACACAGAATTTCAGCTTGTCCAGGAGGAAATTATTGAACTTTGGCAAGACTTCGGCTTGATACACCATGTAACAATTTGACGAACCCAAGAAAGCTTAGCTTCCCATCAGTGTGCCTTATCCAGTCCTGTAGCACAACATGAACTGGAATAGAAGGACCGAGTCCTAGTTCCTAGACAGCATTCAGCAAAATATGAAAGATTAGCCATAGTCCCATGAACTAATGATCAGTTCATCACACAACTTCATGAGTCATGACCACCTAAAAGTGATGATAGTTGAATCTGACATGGTACAATCTTTATAGGGTTTTGATTTGTCAAAGTACAGGCTATCTATATTAGGCTGCCAGACTTGTAATTACTCTACTTCGCACCAAGTTATAAAATAATTGAATAGTTGACAATTGATACTGATTATAAAAAAAACAGAGAAGAGGCAGTTAAATGTTTTCATGGTTTAAGTGTGGAAAACTAACAAGAACCATGGCAGGTTTAAAAATTCAATTTGAAAAGGAAAGATATAAATTAGTTACATATTTTTCTTCCTCACATTTTTTAATAGCTGATAAATGATAATAGGGTTTTGAATGTTCAAAACTTACTGAAGCAAGTTCTTCAATGATAATAGCCCTGTTTCCTTCTTTCTCAAAAAGTTCATAAGCACAGCGTGAATGTTGTTCCCATCGATCTAGAGCTTCAAGCTGATGCACACTTAATGCAGCTGCGCAAAATTCTTCAAAATCCATTCTTCTATATTGTAACGCATTTAGCTGTCATGAAAGGGAAATTCCACAAGATAAAATATATGAGCTACAAACCAGTCAAAGATACACATAAAACCGGTATACCTAGTTTACTTAGGGTTTAAGAGTGATTAAGTAGGTTAAAGTTAGCTAGGGAATCAGTGCGAATAGAGGAAGATGTGGCTGTAAAGGTTGTCTAATGATTTGAATATCGGGCATGCTAGCAAATGGTCACACAGAAGGATACGGTTGAATGATTCAGAAATACTATGGGCCTAGTTTCTTATCTAGGTCGTGCACTATCGAGCAAAACCCTGTGCTTCGGATGACAGTGAAGCCAAACTGTATCAACGATCTAGCAGCGACTTACGGAGTTGGGCCCTTTGACATTGCAGATATACATCTCCTTTCTTTATGGGCCTCTAGGATATTTATGGGTTTCTGATGTTGGCTGGCCTAGATTGTTGTTGATAAGTTCATTGCTTGAAATAAGTTTTAGGGAATAAAGGTCCATGAAGGGAAAATTTTGTTTAATGAATATTTCGAATTCCTGCATTTGTGATCTATTTGAGGGAGGTAGTATTGTTGCACGGGGTTCAAGTGTGGTTAAGATGATTGGTTAGGGGATCAGTCAAAACAGAGGAAGATGTGAGTATAAGGGATGCCCAATTATTTGAATTCTAGTCTTTTCGTCAAACATGTACCGTACCGAGGCAAGAAAATCAGGGATCCGAGACTCCTTCATGGCATCTGTTGCATGTTTCATCAGGGCCTGTATAGAAAGATATGAACGAGAAAAACATATTAAACCCCACAACACAGTGGTTTTACATGTTGATGTGACAGCATTACTGCAATACCAACCGTCCTAATGTTGTCCAAGGTTATACTGCCATTTTTGCTCGGCCCTAACAAAGCAAACTGCTCCCTCAGATAATGAAGTTCGTCTGCAGTCAATGTCTTGGATAAGGCCTGCAGAAATGTAAAGGAACCAATTGTTATTCTAAGTATGAATAAACTATATTCTAACGCATCAAGGAAGAAAAATTTTGGGTTCAGAACCCAGTCGTCACATGCATCATGAGACAGGGCTAAATGACTTTAGGGAAAAATCACTTCACTTTGCATTATGCTACTAGAGTGGGGAAATGGAAACGAACATACAAGCTCCAAACACATATCATGAATCGTGATTACCAAAATTAACGAGGAAAAAAAATTGAATCCAAAATTCGAAAAATTAACTCAAGAAAATATGAATAAATATTGAGGTCTCTGGACCCATGCGCTGTGATTGCTATCTCATCACCAAAAGCAGCCAAAATAGAAAAGAAACTGACGACACAAAAATCCTAAATATTTCTCGCTGGAAAATAAATGGAAACTGCAGTCCCTGGACCGTTGTGTCATGCCACTATGTCTGCTCTTCAAACCTTTTTTTTGACCGGCAATGTCTGCTCTTCAAACTTGAGAGTTACAATAAGAGATGAAATATTGTGGTACAGCAGAAAGTAGTCTTAAAAATAAGTCGAACTTCTCCAGTAGTATTAAAGAACACACACCCTTAAAGCAGCCTTCCGCAAGGATGATGATCGCATATAAGCCTTCATGAGCCTAAATATTAGAATATCAAGAGGAACTTTTACGTTATTGTAATTTCGTATCCAAGGGTGACCTGAAAATAAAAGATTATAGCCAGCAGCTTAAAAAATGACCTTACAAGAACATCAATTAGCTTAAGGTGACCAAAAACTCACTTAAGGCCTGAGCAGCTGAAAGTCGCTTCCGTGGGTCCTTATTTAATAGACGTTTGACAAAATCTTTTGCTTCCAAAGATAAAGAGGGCCAGGGGGCTTCATCAAAGCTTGGATCTGCTTTCAAAACTGCCCGAAAAATACCAGACTCTGTTCGAGCCCAAAAGGGGCGACTACCACATAAAAGAATATATGCAATTACACCTATGCTCCAGATATCAGCCTCTATAGTATAAGATCTATGTAGAACTTCAGGTGCCACATAGTATGCACTTCCAACAATGTCATTGAGCCTTTCATCTGTAAGGACACTAACAAGAATCACTAACAACAGATAAACTATAAAGGGTGACAATATTACTAAATGGGGCTTCTGAAGGCAAACCTGGTTTGACAAAGTCTGATAATCCAAAGTCTATTGCCTTCAGCTCGGAATTCTCATCCTTCGAAGCATACAAGAAATTCTGGGGGCATAGAAGAGAGGGACCAAGGGGATTACTCAATAAGCAAGAGCATGTAAATTGAAATGAGCACATCCAGCTACTCAATTTACCCATGACTATATTAATTATCTAAATTTAAATGATAAAAACAAGGGGTATTTCTTGCAATGCAGTTCAATCAGTTTCTTTTTCTATTATTTGCTCGGAAAGATTTAATCCCGATAGTTATGCCAAGTGAGCTCAGTTAACCACCGGGGCCAAGGCCCTAAAAGTTAGTGCATTAAATTGTAGTAATGCAAACTAGTAGGGACATCACCCAGTTGCCCGTTTGGATCAGGAATATATAAATTAATTATTTCATTAAAGAATGGAACGCATATGACAACCCAACTTTCGCATGCAACTTGCTTTTAGTACTCACTTATTAAAATGATTTGGTCCTCATATCATATCATGAAACCCAGTAAAACACTTTATTCACATAGCCCAACTGGCATTGACAAATCGATGTATTCCTCTGCTTATGGATTTTATCTTGTTGCCAAATGATATTTGACATTATACAAGATACATACTGCTAATTTGGATGCAAGACGAATTTAGGGGCTATCTGGATTCTGGAAATTTAAATCCAATAAGCTGAAGACAAGACAAGCAAGCTATAATGCCTCATGCGGAAAATATGGGCACGCTTCATAGAACATTTGACCATCTCAAAATCACGATACCAAGAAAATTAAAAA